GGAATTTTCACTCATCGGGTAAAGTTTATGCTTCCACTGAGCTGCATATAGGTCCCTCGGTAGTGTGAGGAGATTTCGCGAGATGCGCACTGCTGATGATTCCCAATAGGGATGAAACAGCTTTACAGTGCTTCTCGGCTTTTCAGCATAGATTGGCTTCACTTACAGGACGAAATCTCCACAAAAATCCCAATGTCTCCTCACACTACCAACAAACGGATCTGTTACCCGTTTCTTCCTCAAATCAACTGATCCTAGCAGTCAGTGAGGCTGATATGCTGGTAGACGTTTTATATCTTGTCCAGAAACAGGTTTGCGAGATCATGGGAGTAAAGCAATCGTTATGATGAAGCACCCCAAAAGTCGGTCGCGAAGTAGACTCAACAGTGACTCATTGCGTTGTTCGAAGGCGATTCCACTAGCTGTCACTCTCTCTGGCTTCAAACTTAGCCAACACGGTAATCTGTCCAGCGGAATCGTTTGTGTCAAAGATGAAACACTGTCCAGCAAACAATCCACAAAGTGTTGACCAAACCTTTCGGTTGATTTCAACGTTTTCTCAGAAATAAGCAACTTTCTGGTGCTAACTTTTCAAGAGCGTGAAAGTGATGTAGCAGATGAGACAGTAATCAAACAACGTAGGTTTAGAACAGTGCTGGAAAACAATCGTTAGCAGTGCATACGTCCATTATAAACCACTGGCACACAGTGCCGTCGTGTTTAAATCATTCTGCCGAGTGGTAAAGCAGCGCCTTTTAGGGGAAACCAGCTGAGAGAGATCGATGGACTAGTGCAAGTAATTTTGGAGATTTAATCAGTCGACGACCTGGACAGCTTCAGGCTTGAAGCTTGGAGGTCACAACTGCCTGCCCTGTTATGAATGCTCATCAACATCATCATTCGGGGCACATTGCAGTCAGTTGATACCAACGAGACAGTTGAAGATCTATGGCCGTACGGAAGTGTACAAAGGCTGTCACTGACTTCTAGACGAAGGACATTCAGTGCGACACAACTGATGGTCCATCATGCGTGTGTACGCACCTGGTCAACACAAATCAAAAAGCCCCATTGCCAGAGCCCGATTGTTTCATGGTAATCTATTCCTTTGTTTGCGAGTATTTTGCAAGCTATGTGGGCCGCAACACTCGATCACCATCCCTGCATTCAAATCTGAGAAGCTAAACACGTGACCACCAATTTATTCCAGTAAAATGTTTTAGAACGATTTATCAGGTGTCGTGCAGTCGTTCGAACGTCATGTGTAAAAACGTACTCGAAACGGGAAAGATGACCGCGTCGTCTGTCATTTTGTCCTCAGAAGCACGTTTTTGAGACAAACTGGGATCGGTTATTGTGGCTTTTTAGCCACTATGACCTCATTGGTCAATTTGCAAGATTGCGGTGACAACTTTTCCGATAAGAACGCGCATTGTATGGCATGCTCTCACTGAATATCTGATTGGTTCATTTAGCGGACCACGTTTACGTGGGTATAGGAGACGCATGTGTTTGTCGTTACCGCTTATTTGTCCGTCTTACACCTCAGCAGTGGACTCACTCTGTAGACATTTCAGGATTATAGACCCACCGACAGATGTGGGTTGGTGGCTGAGAGGGAAGATATATAGTGCGAAACTCCGTGTGAACGGTTTCAAACGAATAGATAGATTCCATCAGGATGAGCCAAAGACCCCGCAACAGCGTGCGTCCAACCGACCCTTATATCCACTTCTCAAGACCTCGAGTGTGCCGTGATACTAGCGCGTGGTTCCTTTACAGGTGACCAAATAGCCTTCTCATGAGTAATCTTGTTTGAGGACAATTTGTATGTTCCATAAAATGGGAAGGTTGGACGGCAGAAAAGCGACTTCAGTTTAGTGAGTCCAACTCAGAGATCACACAGCTAGTTAGTTGTTTGGTCAATAAAATCGTAGGCGATGTAGTGAACAACACAAATCAGATGCGCAAAATGGTGTCCGTTTAAACGAGAAGCGACAAGTTCGGATGCAACAAATGGAGGACAGTGGCTATGACCGTACGGAGAATTAGTGTAAGCAATAGATACACTACTGGCTCACTCTACTCGCGACTCAAACCAAGGCAGTTTGGTGCAAGTCATAGCGGGCGCAGAATATCGATTCCGTAGCCATTGTACTAAAAGCCTCAATGCTATGCAGGTGCCAAAAGGGCGAAACCGATCGTGGGTAGTCGAAGAGTTTTTACCAACCTTATGAGTAGTGTATTACGTCTACATCAGTTTATCATGTCTACATAAATGAGACCGGATTCGTTCCAAACCGGACTGTGCATAACAGGGTGTATTGGACTATTCCGTTGGTACTAAAATTTACTAGAAAAGGAGCTTGACACGTGACCTAAGATGAGCTGACTTATGCTGCTCTGGCTGACAGTTTCCTGAGTGGAGTGGACAAATTCCCCGCCAGTTTCCCCTCGTCACACCAGGTTAGAACAAGGGTTTTTAGCAACCTCGTGAGTAGTTTCCTTCATGAAAGTAAAGCTGTACTTTATGAGATGACGATAACTACTTAAAAACACTATTTCCAGTTTTGTTGGTGAGAGAACGCTGATTGGTCTATGATCGTATCTAGCTCTAGTTCCAGTCGACACCCATTCCGACTGCAAAAGACCAATTTACTGACGGGGTTTCAGTTTGTACGACCGATTCTAATATCAGCAGTTTCAATAAAACGTCGAATGTTCTCCTTGCCATCCAGGTGGTATTGGAGCCGTTCCTGGTATATCTTACGACCTCTCCGTTTGTCCTGATTGCCCTGTTATTATCTAATTCCACAACACACTAGAACTGTTGACTTTCTAAAACTGAAGTAGCCTGCCACAAAATAACGGCAGCAAGCTGACCCGAACTTCGTCCTTTGTATTTTAGCCCATATTCTTGGCCTGAATGTGTTAAACAGTCATCCCCATGGGCTGACAAGATGGGGAACCACATGGCGGCCAAGTTATTCACGTTTCGAGTCACATTACAAGGATTCTGTCGGTACTCAGAGCAAAGAACCAAAAACTTCCCGTGTTTCGAACAGAATGTTACGTCTTTAGCAGCTGATTGTTACCCTGTTATTTGAAGCTGGCAGTTTGCTGTCGAGAAAGCCTAACACCTCCAGAAAAACGCGTAATCTTTGCCAGCTTATTCATGAAAATCTTGAACTTTTAAATTTGGAACTGCAGTCGACTGTAGGGTTGTTTGACTCCTGTTGTCGGGAACGGTTACGGAAGGCTTAATTCCTTTCATAGGAATGAAATACCTGACTGTTCTCCAACTGCAGCTTATAGAAAGGATTCTTTTCAGCAAATGCGGTCGTGTGCCAACAGAGACTACTAACTCAGCGTGCTATCGGATACAGCTCAGATAGTCTGTTGTTTCACATCAGGGGGAGCAAACTGATGTGCAGTGTACTTTGGATCGTCCAACTAATTGGCACCGGCACCCAAATGACGAGGTGAGTGATTTGGTGTCGGTCACACATATCCTCAGGAAGACAGTATCACCGAAGGCTGCATGCGTCGTACGCAATTGCGCGTGTATGCACAAATCCACTGGGAAAACGGATGATGGAGGAATTGCGAAAAAAGAAGGTACGCAGAGTCCCGGCTAGAAATCCAGAATGAAGATGAGGATGCCACGGATTGCATGGTCTCATGATATCGCAGTGAGCTGGTCTCATAAACGGCGCTGTCATCCTCGTCACCACTATCGTCAACATCGGTGGTTGAGTTCGGTGGAACGATCAACGACCACCCGATCAGACACGATCGAACACCCCGAACTATCTATCAATGAAATGAAGAACTTTCCTCAGTATGGAGATGTTTATTGACCAATACGAACTAATCCGTCCCAAGCTATTAGACACGAAAGAGGAACTCTCGTTTGCACAGAGGTCATCCTCAAGCGTCTTCTTGAATTTTCCCAGGCGTCCTGTGAATGGTAAGCATTGCAAAGCGGTTCAAGAATTTCCGTACCAAACGTCAATCAGATGCAGGAACCGGGGCTTGACATTAAATCAGACACTGATGGCATGCTTCTCCCGTAGTACACACTATTATTCCAGGAATTCGGCGCATTTCTGCATTCCGCCTGCACCACCATCATCATAACTAAAGCGATCGTCGTTCCCTTCCTCATCTTCACCATTATCACCGTCATACACATTTTCACGGTCATCTTCATCAGCATCATCGTCACCATCACCCACGACATCGTTAACTTGATCAACGACCATCATCAGGTTTTGTTTATGAAAAAGAGGTGAAACTGAGCGCCCTAACTCAGTTCAAGGCATCTGACAGCACTGGCGTCCTCACAACGCAGAAAGGAGTTCCCTCATATGACGTGTTGCGCCTTGATTGCGGAGATTTGTCCAGTTGAACACGCCGTCTTCCCGGAAGTTCGTTAAATAGATACACTGAAGAAAACGCCCTAGTCCATCTGCTTCTGTGTGTCCTCAATCAGGAAAAACCACATTATGGGCGGACAAGTATCTGTTCAATCTACCAGACAGAAACACATGACCGCTCTGTTTGAGCTGGCCTTCAAAAACCAAGGACATTTTTCTGGCCAATAGCATCACTGCGGTTGGTGTATTTAGAATTTGTTTGAACAAACTCATGGTCCAACAGCTGTGGTCTGTAGAGTTTGCGAGGATTCAAGAGGGTGAGTACGGTTGTCTATGGTATCACAACAATGAGCAAACGTGACGTTTATGAGCTTGAACACTTTTCTACTCATCCAGCTCTCATTCAGTTTTGGCTTAATGGGCTGACTGGTATTGTTCGATATTCTAATGTTCCTTAGCGATAGAGCACGCAGAGTTATCAAGTCTCCGGGGGATAGAGCAGGTCCTGATGACTTTATTGGAGGCGTTTAGGCGAAAATTCATATTCCGGCTGCTTAATTAGGAGTCGTGGGAGAGTCGTGGGACCTGCACACACTAAAATATACCCAGAAAGCTAATCAAGTCCAAAAAGGGGGAGGGCTACAGCGGACCAATCCAACACAACCAAGTCGGGGCACAACGCAGAGCAGCTTCAAAACGGACCAACAGGCGACGCAAGAAGGAGATTTCCGCTAACCATTCAGCTTGGAAGAACTAGATACTTCCAGATAAGTTATATAAGCGCAAATGCAAGAGGAGGCGAAACCTACCCAATAGAGCAGTGTGAATGTTTCGTCCGACGGTTCCAAATCGTTTGCCAACAAATGGTCTATGTGAGGGAAGATGTCAGTTAGTATGGAACGGTAACTGCGTGCAAATCACCGCAAAATGTCCAACAGCTTCGCTTTAAAGAACACAGACAAGAGAGAATTGTACACTGTCAGTGACTTCATTTTCACAAAATAAATGGAAGAAGGTGGAGAGATTTATGTCCAGAAAAAGTGAAGGAACTCCCAAATACTAATTTGAAGCTGTGTGAGGCCAGCCATGTGAAGGGTTACAAAGTCAAAATTAAAAAGCGCTCGGTTAAATCCAAAAGAGAAAAGTCCAGGAGTACTGAATGAACGCAGAATTATAGTACGTTGGTTAGTGTGTTCTTCTCTCTGAGTAGTGTTCATCATCCACATGTGTGGTAGAACATATAATTAACGGACGCACATACATACATATTATATGCAGTTCTTTTCAATACCCTCAGGGGAGGTGTTGTATGCAGTTGCTCAAGGTCACACCTATTTTATGAGTGACGAAAATCGGTCGATATATTCAACAGCGAGCTTCGTCGTGGGTGTAAAGTAAACTATTTTGCCCTTGTAATGAGATTAAATTGTTGTGGAATGTACCTTACTCGCAAACCTGTTTTGTTTTACAATCCTCACTTAGGTCCGACTTGGGAAGGGGACAGATGCTTCTTTACTGTAGATTCTGTAGAATAAAACACTATTATCTCTCTCTCTATAGGGGAACAACTTTCTAGCCTACAGAGCTGGGTTGCTTCAAATGAGTAGTATATGTGTCAGAAATTCCTCAAACTTGTCGCCCCCCTAAAAAGCACGCACTTTTAGGCAGACAATCCAGAATTCCTCGAAGTGGACCCCCGTTGTACGCATGTAGCTTATAATATAAGAGGACCCGTTGACAGCCAGGTCATTCCTTCCAAGAATCAAGGACCTTCCATTGATAAATTGAGTTGAAATTTCAGCCATCACGTGAGGCGGGCTGTTCGACTGATAAATGCGTGATGCTACACCGAAAGTAAGGGTACTTTAGTCATATCACTGGTCTGTCACCCTTTGATGACAACCGAGCTGTTCACAGCATCGCAGAGGAGGTTGCATATGTAAAGCTTCTGATAGACTAGTTAATATACAAAACTTATGGTTCTCTAAGAGGATTACTCTAATTTGTATCCAACTTTCGCCTTAGTCTGTAGAAGGGAAATATCACCAATGGGTTGGATCACTTGTGGACAGTCACGCATATTGTGAGCAGTACCAACCTGAATAAAACTTTTCTCCGACTTTACTGCCATGATGGGAATCGTCAGATACGGAAAGTCAAACAACAGAAGAAAGGATTGCACGAAGCCGAGATGGGCAGAACAAAGTAGGCGATGTAGAAAGTCTTACCCAGATGCAACTGCATCAGGCCAATACGGTTACCTGCGTAAAGAGGTAAGACGAATAGGGCTAAATTGCAATTGAATTAGAGCAGCGAGTTGCTGGTGAAAGGAAGAGGGTCTTTGCTGCGGAGTCGTTCATCGGAGAGACACGAACTGAACAGTTACAGACTATTGGAACAGGGGAACAAAACTCTCATATGCATCTTGTGTGCAAAAATGAATACCCATCTTCTCCTTGAACGCGTCTTCATGAACTTTCCTGGAGATTCATTGACTGTTACTCAAATGCAAGCAAATAATACAGAGAGACTTCACAAATTCCGTAAAAGATCTCACTTTTCAAGAGACGCGAAGCGGATTTACGAGAAAACCACATACTACCACATACCAGTAGTATCCACCGTTACACGGGTAGGCAGTGTTGTGATACTAAGAGGGTAAAAAGCGGAATTTTCAGCACACGTGAAGACGTGCCGACTCACCTAAATACAACTGCCCTGTGCTTTTTCTACAACTCACGGAAAATGACGAAATGCGCTGATTCGCATACTAATTTGGTTTTAACCGGAGACACGACTGGATCCTATCTGAATCTCTTGTTTGTGTTGTTGTACCGCATGAAGAGTGTCTCATTATTCAGTGAATACGGTAATTGAGACATCACGGTACAGTGTCTTGACGTTGTGCACAAGTGTTCGACAGCCCACGACCAGTCTCGCTTTCTGGAAGGTTTATCGTTCAATTTGGGTACAAGTAGAACGTGGAGGTCAAAGAAACTGAGGAACTGCTCCTATCTGATAAACATCAAGAGCGGCGAAATCTGCCGTTGGTTGTCCAAGAGTAGTGTATTCCATCCCAGAAGAATTTCAGAAATCTCTTTGCACAATATCAATTGAGCTACTGTTCACAAAACTTTCGTATCTGAGACCAAACAGTCGGGTCTCAGACTAACATCAGGATGAATTAATTTTAAGTGTCCTGCAGGAGTTTCTCTAGGCAATGTGAATGAGCAGACGTCACCAAAGGTGTGCTTATCGGAAAGTTACACGATTCTGTGCTGGTTTAAGTTTACAACTCCTCCAGAGAAATTACTCCTGACCGTTGTCTGCAATTTTCCGTTGTTAGGCGCGTTAGCATCACGATTATTGAGTCAGAAATTAAACATCAGGGAAGTAGTTATGATCAAATAGGCCGACTATCCACCTGAAAGGTACGTTTTAATCGCTGTACTTTCAAAAATATAAAAAGCATGCACGCAACTGCTATTGTTAAAGACAAAGACAGTTGACAAGTGGGATAAAAATTAACTTATCGATCCCAAACTGAAGCGAATCAGATGTTGAAACTTGTTGAAAACTTTAGACAGAATGGCAGCCTAGTTGGCAGAGCTAAAATAAAAGCGTTCTGTTCACGTCAACATGAACGTGTCGGGTCTGGCCTTCATCATCCATGTAAAGCTAATAGACAAAGTGTCCAATCGAGTAACAGTTGCTATTGCTAAGGTACATCTTTATACGGTGCAGAGCGCTGAACACACTATGGCAACCAATTTGTTGTTCTTGGCAGTGACGAGGGGATTCATAGATGTCAGGGGTGAGGTGGCCCAACTGGTTAGAGCGCGAATCTACTGACCGGAAAGTCCGTGGTTCGAACCCTGTCTCTCGACTTCCCCTGTCTAGGCTTGGACTACCTGGCAGTATCACAGCCCTCGTACCTCCTTCCTGCGGCATGGCAGCTGGGCACCGAAAGGGCGCTACAGCTGAACGATCACAGATGTCAACAAGTTAAATGGGTGGTGTTATATCTGACTGCTGTTCCTGCTTCAGTGCCCAATGCTAGAAAAAGAACTCACCGACAAGAAACGAAACAACTCTGGTGCAACAGCGAGTGTATGAGAATGTTCAACTTACAACGGCCGCACGATATTTGAAGGGCACTTGTTGGCATTCATCCAGATTGTTTAGTGAACACCCATCAACGTCAATCGTACTTCTATAAAATGCCTGAACGCTGATCACATATCAGCCGTAATTCTATAAAATGCCTGAACGCTGATCACATTCGGTCGTGCATCTCTGCCATGCCTGAACACTCATAAGCTTTTGATGAACTGATTGCATGCTTGATTGGCCTGGATGCTTGTTGTCTTTCCTGTTGAGATTTTGGTTGAGTTTTACGGTTTCATTAGGTTCCGGGGGTTCTTTCAGGAATCTGACCTTCCTGATAGTTGGTCCTACGGTGACACCTGAGTCAGGATGGACAACTTCCCCACCACTCTTTTTTAAAACTAGAAAAATTCGCCGTAGCAACTCATGAATTTTCCCCGAGTTGCTTGGATTAGTTTAGCAAACCTTAGACAACATGTTCTCGCGTAGACAAACTTGCCCACTAGGTTTAATTAAATCCCGATCCCATAGGTCCTCGCCAAATTGCATTGTATGGAGAATTAAACCTCCCAAGACTGTTAGGTTTTGTCAAACCTTGGTCGAATCAGCACCGATGCGAATTTTTCGCTCTCCTGATCACATGGTTGACTGACAAGCGCATGCTGTTTTCTGTGGTCGTCTGATTAAAAATAACCCTACATGTGTATCGGGAGACTTGGTGAATCGGACAGACAAAATTCCCACTTTGTTGTTAACCTATGAAGACTATCTGAATCGTGTGTGTTCACTAGATAACTTTGATATGAAACTA